GTAAACAGCTGCCCTGGACACAGATTTGATCTGTGCCTCCATGGACAGCTGCGAGTCCAAAATGACTCCCAGGCTGCACACCTGGTCCTTCAGGGGCACAGTTACCACATTCAGGACCAGGGAATCCTCCACACCTGCCCGCCTCCTGTCCCCCAGAAACAGTACTTCTGTCTTGTCAGGATTCAATCTCAATCTGTTAGCTGCAAGGGGTTTGTTGGCAGAAAAAATTGGGTGGATGATGAACTTGTTTAATTAATTAGCAACTGGGATAAGAAGAGAGTTACCCTGGCAATCCAGATAGATTGGGCAAAATAATGTTGCTTCTCTTTCCGCCCCAGCCCCCCAATAACTTTTTTTTTAGCATGCAGGCTGAAACGAACCTTGTCTAGGCAGTTGCTGAGTGTTTCATTTGTTTGTGTAATTTTATGTAACCAAAATAATAGAGCTTGACTCGTGCTGCAGAAAGTGCTGATTTCAACTCTGTTAAAAAAACTGCTTCTGCAGCTTTTCTCCCTCCTGTTGCACACCACAAGCTGCAAACCTTGGCTACGTCTGTCCAAGTTGTTAATCATAGCACAGGCCATCTACCAGAAAAAAAAACCCAAACGGTTCCCTTTCCGCTAGGAGGGTAAATGCCATGTGCTGGTTGTGTTCAGCTGGAGCACCTCAAGACTGCTTCAGGCCAGCTGCATCTCACATGATGCCTGAATTTCTTTGAACTGAGACAAAGATCCTGTACTCCTCTTACTATAAATCTGAAATTATAAGGCATTTAGGCTGTTGCAAGTTCTGCAAGCAATTGCCTTTCTTGCTAAACCTCTACCGAGGAATGGTTAAATAACAGCTGTGATGAATATTATTTAGAATATAATGCTTGTCTGTTATGGGTTGGCCACCCACGGTTTAATTAAACTACTTCACAGATAACGTTCCAAACAACTACAGGAATTTGTGAGTTACTTGTGAGAGGAGACCAAGCTGAACTCTTTAATTTGGCCTAGAGTTGTGGTTCCCAACGTGGGGCACACACCCAACAGGGGGGCAATTCGTGAATGAGTTAGACCAAGTTAATGGCCTTTTAGACTTCCTCCACGTGAACAGGACTTCACTTTTTGAATATTAAGTATTATGGGGATTTTAGAGATGCTTAGGTGGGGCATGGCAAAAAAGAAAGTTGGAAACCAGAGGTGCCTGGCTGTAAGCCTGCCCTGCTTGTACACGGAATATGCACTCTAATGCAAAATACAGTGGTGCCCCGCAAGACGAACGCCTCGCAAGACGGAAAACCCGCTAGACGAAAGGGTTTTCCGTTTTGGAGGCGCTTCGCAAAACGAATTTCCCTATGGGCTTCCTTCGCAAGACGAAAGCCCATAGGGAAATCTCTGGGACAGCGGGGAAGCGCAGCGCGTCTTCCCCACTGTCCTCGGACCTCCTCCGAAGCCTGGCGGTGGGGCGGAGGTCTCTCCGCCCCCCGCCAGGCTTCGGAAGGATGCTCCGAAGCCTGCGGCGGGGAGGAGGTCTCTCCGCCCCCCGCCAGGCTTCGGAAGGCTGTTCTGAATGTTGGCGGTGGGGAGGAAAAACCCTCCTCCCACCGCAAGCCCGGGAACAGAGGAGAAGCGCTGCGCGCCTTCCCCTCTGTTCCCGTACCTGTCCTGAAGGCTTGCGGTGGGGAGAAAAGCCCTTCTTCGCACCGCCAGCCTGGCAAGCGGTTTCCATAGGAACGCATTAATTGATTTTCAATGCATTCCTATGGGAAACCGTGCTTCGCAAGACGAAAAACTCGCAAGAAGAAAAAACTTGCGGAACGAATTAATTTCGTCTTGCGAGGCACCACTGTACAGTAGTTGCTGTGCATTGCTTTTAAATTCAAAATTGTGTTTCTAGCCACCATGAGGCTGAGAGTTCTGCAGCTTTGGCTTATAGGAAGAGAGGCTTCCCCCCTGTATTTCTTTCTAGTTTTGTTTCTCCTGTCACAAAGGGCTCTCTCACATTGCCTCAGGTTTTGGGGAAGTGGATTCCTGCTTCACCACATTACCAAGCCACAGTGTGGCCAGTGACTCACAGGTTGTTTCAGTTGGTAGTCATGAGCTTCACTGAAGGGGCAGTGGTTACACTCGTACAGTGCTGTTTTGCATGACTTCTGCGTTCATATTTGTTAAGGGGCTTTTGTGGTTTTTTAGGCAGGGGGATCGGAGTCCTGATCATGAGATATTCAAAGTCAAAGTGCTTTAAAACACTGAGAGGGCAGAGGAATAGAGTCCCCTGTCTATCTTGCCTATCTCACACACAGGCACACTCACTCTGAAATGGTAGTTAGGGCCTCTCATGGACCCAAATGGAGACCAAAAGTAGCTTTAACTGGACCCTAGCAAACAGATTATAGTGAAACTGCTATTTCAGAGGCGACTGCTTTATTAAATTTCTGGCCTTGTGACGTAGCGATTAGTCTGATAGGGTGATTAGCAACAAAGTTAGCATGGTGCTTTATAGATTTTATTTTCCAAATCATCACAGCACAGTGCTTTATGCTTCATTTGGGAAAAACTGGGTAGTGATAGAGATCTGATCTTGCAGTGTGGAGAATGAGTGAAGAAAACGCTTGTCTGCCTGCCTTCAGGTGTGGTAATAAAAGACTCTTGTTTTTGTGGGCGGTGGTGGCTAGGAACATGCTTCCTGTGTCTGAACAAATGCTGCTTTTTTTGAAGAGCTAGCGCATGCAATGGAGATGGAAGAAAGGCCTGAGATTCAAATTTCACGTTTCTTTCCCCTCCCCCACTTGGACTGTTTATGGAAGCAGGCAGGCGACTGTTTCTCCTCAGAAAGCGTCATGGCCGCCTCAGCCCTACTCACTGAAGTGCTACAGCGTCTCTCCTCGGGCAGCCTGAGGGAAATTTAGGAGAGACGGGGGCATTGCTGTCACCTTTTTGCCCCCTAGGCCACGGCCACTGTCCCCAGTCCTCACACAGAAGGCTGGCTTTTATATGTGCCTTTTAAACAACCAAATCTCTTGCTAGCCATTGGCTTCAAATGGTATCTTACAGCTGCATTGTGGGACGGGACTCTGGGCAAAGAAAGAGTTCCTTGCTTACCACACGGAGCTTCCTGCTTTTAGGTATTCTGTTATTTAGTTAGTTAATCTTGCCCAAGGCAACCCAAAACAACCAGACAGAACCCCCAACCCCGTCCCCCAACACACATAAGTACATTAAAACCAAGAGGAAAAATGAATAAAAGCATCCCTGCCCACATAGGTTAACAGCCCTGCTACCTTCAGATAAATTCATTTTAAACAACCCATTTGGGACTCCACACAACAGATTTTAATCCTAATAGGCCTGGGAAGGGATGAATTTTCCTAGGAGGTCACATTTGGGGGGACAGTTGTCCCCTGTTGAAGCACAGGGCGCCTGATTTTGGGGAGCAGAGGGCCGGCTGGAAACAGCACAAGTGTTTAGCTCCATTTATGACCTCCATTGCATCCAAACATACAGACGGTGTTTGTAATTAAACAGCAAACTATGGCACAAACAAAAACCACGTTCTTATTCAGTACAAGGCCATTTTTAATGCCTCGTGACCAGAAACCTAAGTACTTCTGCTGGTTTCTGCAAGTTCTGGATCTACTAAATCTCGTTTTAATGACTCAACCGCTGTAGAATTACATTGGGACAATTGAAGATTTTTTTTATGCAGCCTTATGAAAGATGCTATTCCTTTCTTTTCCTTGTAAACATCTGCTTGAGGCCATCTTCCCGCCCCCTCCTCAGATTTAAGTCCTGTACTGAAGAAGCTTTTATGGGTGCATGCTGAATAGGATAGCAGAGTACCTGACACATGGATATTTTAATTTCTGGAGTGCCTGTTAATATGTTCACGGGTAGAGAAATGCTACTTGCATTTTTCCGTCATGCTGTCAGGTTTCCCTTGAAATTACACATGCACTCAAATAGGCCTGGATGATACATCAACATTTTATCACCCAGGACTGGTATGAGGAGCAGACAGCGGTGTTGGCTTCACTCAGCTGTATATCGCTGGTGAAACCGCCATCCCACTCTGCCCTCATACTGCGCAGAGGGAGAAATTTGGTACATTGCCACATTGCAATGTTTGGCTGGTGATGTTAAAAAGCTGGTATCGCCGAGCCCTACACTCAAAACACCATGTAAGGCTGAATACTGGCAAAGACATGTACATACCTTCATTGTCTCAACATTGTCAGAATATCATTTTAAAAGGATACTACATGTCTTTTTCGTGAAAGTGGTGTAAACTGGTCTTGTAAATTAGCAAAGAATGAGCGCCTATTCTTTCTAGACCAGAGGTTCTCAAAACACTGCTCTGAGCTCCATTCAGGTGATCTGCAGAAAGGCTGCAGAACGCTTTAATATATGTGTACTTATATATCATTTGGAGGAGGGCTTGCAGAGCAAAAGCAATGATAGGTGTTTGAAGATATTTCCTTCTGAGATCCAGGCTGGTCTGCCAGTAAGCTTGGGCAAGCTGCTATTTCTGCTCCCCCTATCTGCAATATTGGGATAATATTGACTTGCCATGGAGAACTATTAAGAATGAATGAGAATTTGTCTGAAGTGAACCATTGAACTTCAATATAAATGTTCTGTAGTGCGATGAAATTCTGTGTACTTGATTACTGCATATCAAATAGTCAAGAACCTATGACTGCAGCAGTCTGATGTTTGACTCCCCAATTTCCATCAACCCCAGCCAGCATGGCCAGCAGTCAAGTATGATGTAAGTTGTAGTCTAGCAACATTTGGATGACCACAAGTTCCCCACCCCTGGTTTCTGGAATGGCATGGAATCCAGCCATGCATGGGGAAATGGAAGTGTCTGTTTGATACAAATAAGTCCAAAATTTGAGTAATTATCCTTCACTTGTTGTGTTTTTGTATTTTTAGGGGTCTTCTATGGGATTATAACTGTGATTTAAAATGTAATAACATTGGCTAAAGTATTTTCTTTCCTATATTTTGCAGATGTCTTAAGCTGTAAGAGAACAAATGCAAGGTAATTCTTCGATCAGCTAAAGATGCAGCAGAGCAAAGACTATATTCAGCCGGTACTGTTGTCCAGACTCTACTTCACACCTTCCATTCCAGCAAAACAACTTTTGAAGCAAGATGACTTATAAAAGTTGGCGTATGAGGATTTTATTAAGGCTGCTGTCCAAAATAAATATTCATCTACGATGAACACTTCCCCTGAAGGAGAGACTGTGAACTCTTTTGCGAAAACAAGAACTCTGTTTAAAAATAAAGATCCTTAACTGTAGTTGGACATAAGAAGAGTGCATCAGAATGTACATTAATCATAGAAGAGTAAGAAAATGCCAATTTGTACAGCTATTTGCCACTTGTTTTGTGCTGTCTCTCATGGTTTTTTGGGGACCACTTGACAATAGTATTGTGAGCCACATGAAGTCTTACTCTTATAGATACCTCATAAATAGCTATGATTTTGTGAATGAAAGCTTATCTATCAGTAAGGACTTGGATAGGGTAGCAGGCTGTCAATACTTGATCAACCACAAGGAGAAATGTCAAAAGCAAGATGTTCTGCTGCTGCTGCTTGTGAAGTCTTCACCTGAGAACCGTCACCGGAGAGACTCTATTCGGAAAACGTGGGGTAATGAAAAGTACGTCCGTTACTATCTTCAGGCCAACATAAAGACCCTGTTTGTGTTGGGGCAGCCAAGAAACCTTACAGACAGAGACTATATGCAAATGAGGCTTCAAACAGAAGACAAGTTTTACGGCGACCTGATTCAAGGAGACTTCTTAGATACTTTCTACAACCTTACCCACAAATTACTCATGCAGTTTAGCTGGGTAAATAAGTTCTGTCCTCACGCCAAGTTTGTTATGTCAGCAGATGATGACATTTTCATCCACATGCCAAATCTTGTTGCATACCTCCAAAATCTAGCACAAGTTGGTGTTCAGAATTTTTGGATTGGGCGTGTCCATCGTGGAGCACCTCCCATAAGAGACAAGAAAAGCAAATACTACGTTCCCTATGAAATGTATCCCTGGCCTGCGTATCCGGATTACACAGCAGGAGCTGCGTATGTAATATCGAGTGACGTAGCAGCTAAAGTATATGCAGCCTCGCAGACTCTTAATTCAAGCCTTTACATAGATGATGTTTTCATGGGTCTCTGTGCCAACAAAATGGGAATTGAACCACAGCACCATCCTTTTTTTCTGGGGAAGGGAAGGCTCCATATCACCCATGCATTTACAACAAAATGATGACTTCTCATGGACATGTAGAAGACCTTCGCTACCTTTGGAAGCAGGCTACGGATCCAAAAGTGAAAAACATTTCCTCTGGAGTTCTGGGTAAAATATATTGTAGAATGGTTAATGTTATGCTTCTTTGCAGATTAGACTATCAGGACACATATCCCTGTGTTGCTGCATTTTCCTAATACTTGAATAGACTTGTTGAGCCAAAAATCTGAAATCTCCAGCTCTTTTCTCCCTTGACACATGAAAAATGAACATAAAATATTATGTGAAAACTTTAAATGTGAATGTTTGCCTATATCCCACACTAATCTAATGGCTTCAACAAAGTTTTCTTGGCTCTATTGAACCATTTGCTCCCATATGTTAGAGTGTATTTGTCCAAGAGACTTAAAGAACTGGCTAGATATTACTGAAAACTGTATGTTTACACTTCCAATTCTAAACTAGCTGTAATTACCATATGGAATTGAATTTGGAAAACAGATTATTTGAAAACCATGTACATCTTCTGTTTATAATACGATTTGGAAAGAGCAGGTAAAGTAGGCAGCTCAGATAAATGCAATGATGAAAGTATTGATGTACCAGTTAAATAATGTTTTCTTCCCCACTCCCATGCACAATCACATGTTGATTGTATGTCTTATCAATCCAATGGCACTATGCCTGTTACCACTATATCACAGTCCATCACAGTGATAATTCAGTCTTAACTTTAGAAACCTTGATCCTATACAAGTGGTGCTCATGCTGGCTTCAAGCACTGGTTCAAATGAATCCTGAAAAACTTCATCTCTATTTCAAAATTTTGTAAAACAACTTTAAAAAATGTAAAATCTTGCAACCGAAGCACTGATCTCTGAACAAAAAAAATCACACTTAATTATTCCTCGCCTCCCAGTTGGTCTTCACTGCAAATATATTTTCATCCTGTTCACTTCTGTTAAACTTAATCAGCAGGGGACACTGCTCTATCTGAAAGTGTAGGATTGCACAGCACAAGAGTGGCTTCTAAAGTTCAGAAAGGTGTAAAACGCACCAATCCATGTCAGCTACTTACATGAGTAAATTTCCCACCAATTCATGTTTTAAGGGACTTTGCAATCTATGAATCCGAAATAGAAAATGCGTTAAGTTCTGCTAGTGCAAGAACTTTTGCCCGCAGAAGTGGACTCCCCCTCCCTCTCCTCTCTGCCCCCTAAATATGTTGTAAGAGTTCCCTCAAACCTCTGGAGCAAATTTGGGGGACATGGGGAAAGAAGAGGGAGTGGAAGCTGTTTCTTACTTGTATGTTGTCCTGTTTTGTAACAGGGATGGTGCACCTCTGACTCTCCAGATATGGGACTACAACTCCCATCATCCCTAACCATTGGCCAGTTGGACTACAGCTGATGAAAGTTGTAGTTCAACAACATCTGGAGGGGCACAGGTTCCCCAGTGCTGTTTTACAGGGTGGGTTGGAACTGAATTTATTTGCTTGCCGCATAAGGTTCTAGGCAAAAGGGTTTGCATAGTTTGGGGAGGGGAGAATCTTGGCCATCTCTCCTCATCGCCCTGTTCCCCCAGGCTACTGGCTTTGCTTTAAAATCAAAATTGCATACAATGTAGGGCTAATGGAACATGGATTTTTATTGGTGTTTAATTTCTATATTGCTATAACCAGTTTCAAACAGACATCCCATTGACAGCTAGCTTAATGCCATCCAATAACAGTCGAAATATGCTTAAGAGTTTGGGTCTTGTTAGCAGGCCTTTGCTTTGTCTGAAGTGCTAGTCCAGTGACCACAGTGCTCAGGTGACCACAAAATTTAAGGCCTAATGTATAGCTAGCACCTAAAACTTATGTTGACTGTTGGAAGTGCTGTATGTGTTTTGTGTTTTACAGCAGGTATGTTCTGCTTTTAAAAGTATTTATTAGCTAGCTTTAAAGGGACATGGAGATGGTTTCGTACTACTTTAGCTTGCAGAAGAATGTTTAACAATTTAGAGAAGTTATGAAGGCACTCTTTCCAGGAAAAGAGAGCTCGACATTTTCTTATCCTTCTGGGTTCTGAACATTGATTGTCTTTATATATTTGAAACTGGAAATTCTTGAGTTTGCCAGTGCTCCAGATGCAAGGTTGTTAGACTTTTATTTTTCCACTTCACAGGTAAAATTGCTTCAGCCTGAATGGTAACTTCAGGTACTAGTTTTGACACTGTTGCACAAAAGTGTTTATTTAAAGCAGTTACTTGTTTGGTTTGCAGCTATTTGATATGATTTTTTTTATTACAGAAATGACTATTTATTCATGACACTTTTGCTCTGTATCACGTTTTGTAAAATACTTGTTTTCAATAAACAATTTTGTGTTATTTTGTAAATGTGTTCTACTTTGATATCTGAAGTCACTGAGGATACAATCTTAAGGCTCCATCTGCTGGGATGAGCAGAATTGGGAACCAGCGGATCTCTGGCCCACCTGGAAGGTCACCATCTTACGGTAACTCCCACAACCTGGTTTAGCAGAAGATAGGCTGGGGTATGTCCCAGATTAGCTAGCGTTTTAAACCAGGGGTCAGAAAGGTTTATCTTGCCTGGGCCAGATCGGTCCTGTGGAGATCCCTCCATGGGCTGGATCGCGTGCATGCCCACGATTTTCAGCATCTGTGTCTGCACAGACACGACTTCTGGCGCCGCGGAAGCGATTCCCTGCGCCGCGCCGGTTTAGCGCAGTGCGTGAGTTGGCAACTCGGTTCGGGGGCGGCTTGTGGGATGGTCAACCGACCTCCGCGGGTTGCTTCTGGCCCATGGGCCTTAGGTTGCTGACCCCTGTTTTAAACCAGCATAAGCCCTGAAAAGGGGTATGTCAATGATGGGATCCTAAGGCCATTCAGCATAGTCACACAAGTTGGGAACACAGTTTAAGTTAAGCTGGTTTAAAAGCATAGAGTAACTCAATCTTAAGGCTTGCGTTCCCCCTGGCAGGTTCCAATCTTCCACTGAATTGTGCACATCCCTAAAGTTTTTACGTATCAGGATATACACTTTCCAGCAGACTGGAAAGTGTATATCAAAACAATGTCTGGGCCCTTTCCCTTGGTCCTGTTGCAGAAATGTGACCTTTAGTGAGAGATTATCTTACTTCCTGGTTTAGGAAATTGCACTCCAGAATGGTGGTGGGAGAAAGATCTGGTTTCCATCTCTGAAATGGAATTAACCATTAACCACCTTTACTGTGTAAGCTACCAGTCTGCTGTGCAAAGGCAAAGAGATGTTTTTTACTAATAACGTATAGAATTTACCCAATCTAGATGTGTTAAACTTCAAAATTAAACCTCTCCCACCCTTACTTGCATGCAAGAGGATTATCGGTTTTTGCAGTGTGCTTTGTGCCAATACTAAATGTCACAAATACCAGAGAAACATCATTTGAAAAACCATTTCATATTTGTTTCTGACAGATTTTATTATTTTACTCTTTTCTTACATGCTAAGTAAAAGTGAGGGACGCAGGTGGCGCTGTGCGTAAAAGCCTCAGCGCCTAGGGCTTGCCGATCGAAAGGTCGGCGGTTCGAATCCCCGCGGTGGGGTGCGCTCCCATCGTTTGGTCCCAGCGCCTGCCAACCTAGCAGTTCGAAAGCACTCCCGGGTGCAAGTTGATAAATAGGTACCGCTTACTAGCGGGAAGGTAAACGGCGTTTCCGTGTGCGGCTCTGGCTCGCCAGAGCAGCGATGTCACGCTGGCCACGTGACCCGGAAGTGTCTGCGGACAGCGCTGGCCCCCGGCCTCTTGAGTGAGATGGGCGCACAACCCTAGAGTCTGTCAAGACTGGCCCGTACGGGCAGGGGTACCTTTACCTTTTAAGTAAAAGTGAAACTTAACTCTCCCAAGAGAGGATGAGGGAAGACATGAGCAAAAAACCACTATGCAGGAATTTGTTCAGGCTTATCTACATAGCACTGAGCCATGGTTTACCATTAGAAGCAAATGTGGCTAATGCACACAGTCCTTTTCATTTGCTCCTTCTACAGGTGCTTTCAACTCCCTGCCTTAACTCTAGAGACCGGTGGTCAGTGTTACCCTATTTTGAGCGCAGAAGCTTGTTATTCAAGGCATTAAGAAAATTTGTGAATACTCATTAAAAGGTCGTAAATGTCTGCTGGCAGAGCAGGTCTAAGTTATAACTCACAGTCTGTTGTACTGTAAATCACCTGTTTGGGGGCCTTTGCAGAAAGGCGGCATATAAATGCAGTATATCAGGAAAACATGGGTTGCGATGCAAAAAATGTATTTTTTCTTTAAACTAATTATTTCTTCTGGTAGAAATTGGTTTCATCCTTACCTCCTCCTGGTGGAAAGATTTTCTTCACTTTCACTCATCACTAAGACTCTGCTGGAACCTCCCTGACTTTCTTCATGCATTACTTCAATCTGGAAAATGAAGACAAAGCAGAGATGTCTGACTAAAGGCTTCTTTTCATCTGCAATACTTTGCTCTATATAATAACAGCCAGATAGCTGTCAGTAGTGGCTTGTTAGTGTGGTCTGTCTCCAGAACAGCCAGTATCTTGGAGACACACATGCTACAAAATTCCTGCTTAGTAGCATGTCCTATTCATGATGTAGATCAATAAGAAGTCATATGTATGCTGATAATACACTTTTGTTGCTGTGTGTACAACGATTTTCGTGCTGAAGAATTCTAGTGGAAAAGATTTCTAGTATCTGTAAGCTCATAGGAAGTTTTATATGAAGTCAGACTGTTGGTTCCTGTTCTGACAACTCTCAGTGGCTCTTTGGGATCTCGAGCAGAGTCACCACCTGTTTCTTGATCCTTTCTGCACTAGATTGCTCTTGGTCAGTGTTTATTTCTATGGCTGAGCTATGGCCCCTTCCCTGTTGCAGTTTTTATTATAGCCTAAAAAGATGTGGTTAAACCTGTCACCATCTTCCCATAGGCTGCTAAATGACCCAATTCTAAGTGCTGAATAAATTCAGTGTTGTTTTTTTAACAGATCTTAGAAACTTTCTTCTTGGATTTGGAATTTTAATTTCTACAGTTACTTGTTTTAGAGCTTTTCTTCATTTTCCACCTGGAATTTATTTCTGCGGACTTCCTGCTTTCTAAGGTTTTCTTTCTTCACCTGTTCCCACTCCCTTCCCACGTCCTATTTTGAGCCAGAGAGACTGTGTTTTTTGCTGCTGTTCCCTTGCCTCAAGCAGCTTGCAAACAAGGGAAGCAGATCAGGGAAGCAGTGAGCGCTTCCCGCTCATCAGCTGTTGTGTGGAGCAGAGCGGCAGGAGCACCATGTGCCATTTTAGGGCACTTGGGAGACATTTTTAACCTTTTAGAATTGACCTTGTCAACTGAATTCCACTCGCAAAATAGCAACAGTCTGTGGAAGAAGCCACAGATAGGAAACGTGGATTAGAACAATGAAGCTGATAAAACAGCTAGAGACTCCCATAATTTATGGGTCTAAGTGTGATTGCCTCTTTGTTTACTGTGAGACAGTGATATTGAAAAATCACGCCCTGAAATTAAAATCTTTTAATGCTCTGAATGGGGACAAGGAGAGATGGAAGCGGCTTAGGACATTTTCAGAGTTTAAGACTCTGCCACCAATCTTTTTATCAAAAAGCTAGGCACTAAGCAAAAAATAGTGGGGGTAACTTGGTTTTTCTCGTTTGGAGACTGTACCCAAAGTAAGAAACGACCTTCCTACCTTAATTCCACCTTTCATCTTCTTTACACTTTTCTTTTTTGACAAGTCTGCTTCAGAGATGGATTTGGGAGGACTAGAAATTTCTACTGATTTCCTGTTGGCAGCTGAAATAAGACAAAAAGCCCCATATAGTATCAGAAAATGCAGCACTACCAGAAAAGAACCCCCCCCCCCATGAAACCAAGACCATAGTGTTGGGTCACTTCAGAGCAGGGGTTTGTAATCTGTAGTCTGTGAACTTCATTTGGGTGGTCCGTGGCAGGGCAGGATTAAATATTACTATTGATTTTTAATTGCATTTAATTGCTGCTTTTATTTCTTACATTGTATTTTATATTGCCATTTGAACAGTCATTCATCCCAGCTGGTGAGAATGGAGCTTTTTAGAAGCTGCCGTAATTTTGGAACACATTAAATAAATATTGGTTCACCCATGTATGATCATTCAATCCAACCAAGTATGAGAGGCTCATTCTCATTAATGAGATGCAGGGAGGGTTGAAATTACCCACAGAGAAACAACATGGGAAATAACTGTTCCGCATGTGGATGAAACAACATAGTTACTATGAGAGTAGAAAAATAAACCAGCTATTGTTATTCTTGAACAGATAAGGGGTGAGAGGACACAGCTATATAGTGTTTGACTTGGATCTGAGCCCATTTGTGCACAAAACTGAGCATGTTCACTCTTCCTTTCACTTGTCCTTCGAAAACAGGGAAGCCCTAGGGAATGGGTTATGGTGGAATACAGTGAAGGGGTCTGCAGATGGAGTTGGAAGAAACTGCCCTGCCTTAGAAGTGAAGGGTTTGATGAATGGAAGAGCAATTTAGAATGTTTAGGTTTTGCATTTTGAGCTCAAATGTGCAAACCTTTTGTGGCAGCATAAAAGATGTTCATAGAAGGAATGAAGGAGAGAGAGAGAGAGAACAGGTCCTAGTTGCCCTTAATTAAAACCTCCTTCACAGCCAGTAATGCTGGTGAGAAAGAAACCAGTTTGCCTTCCTCAAGGTTGCCCATCAAAATAATATGAACATTTTGGTTTTTATATGGCACCTTTCCCTTACTCAGGTGCGTCCTTGCACCCTGCTACCAAGAGCACGCATGTGAACTTCCATTCTAGTTTTCCCCTCCCTGTACCTGTGCCAACATGACAGCATGGAATATGTTTTATTTTATCTGAAACATCTGATTATTGCAGGAGGAGCCATCATGGTATCCTTCAACTACAATGTCCATCATCCCCAACCAGCATGATCAATGGGTAAAAGATGATGATAGGATCTGTAGTTCAACAACATCTCTGGGGGTTCCATGTTGGTTCCTCCTGGACTATGACCATTGTGATACATAGGTTGTTGTTGGCACCCATCTGTCTCGAGAGAAAATGGAGTGCGCCTTTGGGTGTGACGTCAAACCGCAAGCCTGGGCAGTGTGTATGGAGGTCCTGGGCTGCCCAGACAAGACTTCCCTCTTGGCCTTACTGCTGAGGTCCAAAGGAATGCAGAGCAATACATTTGGCACCAGCTTGGCTGCAGGGGTTGCCAGAATGAGGCGTACAAAGCTTCATCCAACCATCTTAAGGACTCCACTCTGGATTTGTGTAGGGTTTATTCCAGGCATAGGCAAACTCTGGCCCTCCAGATGTTTGGG